AGATGCTTGTATTGCATGTATATCAAAATAAAATGATTTTTTAAAAATAGGTTAAGTAAGTATTAACTTAGTATTATGTAATAATTAAAAAATAAAATTTGTATTACAAAAAAAAATTATATAATTTTAAAAAATAAAATAAATAATCAAAGTTTTTCAGAATAAAAATTATTAATTTTTTTCGTAATATTTTGATGGTTTCTAATTTAGTGGATATAATAGTAAAATTTATAACTATTTAAAAGTTGTAAAGACATAAAGAATTAGTAAAACTTATTGATAAGATTGTAATTGAAGGTAGACAACAAAAAGATGATTCAATTAAATCCATTTTTATGTTTTTAAATCAAAAGTTTAGATAAATACAAAGATTGTGATAGAAACAAAAACACTTGTTTACATTTAATAATTTTTTTTGGATACATAATCATTTTTTAGAATCTACATGTTTATAGAATGTTCTAAAAGAAATAAAACTAAGACATATGTGTAATTTTTAAGAATTATATGGTAAATTTATAAATAAATAAGTAAAATTAAATTTCTTGCGAAGGATATACAAATAGTAGATTCAATGTTAAGTGATATTCTTTATAAAAGATTAACATCAATAGATGAATTATAATATAATAATAGTAGTATCCATGCATAGAGTCACTATGTTCTAATAATGCATTGTAATACTTATTTTTCTATAGAAAAACATAAATAAAAATTAATAAATATATTTAAAAAAATTATTTTTAAATGCTCAAAGTATGTAGTACAAATACATATTAAAGTGACACCTTGAAAACAAATATTTCATAGATAGATCCACCAAAAATGTAACTTAATTAAAAAAAATGCAAGAAAAAAAATTAAAAAATTAATAAAAAAACTAATGTATCAATATTCTTAAAAAATAATTGGTTTTATTAAAATATAAAATAATTTAAGATATGCACATGATTTAAACACATGAACACCTTATCAGCTCAAAATTCTAATAATTTGTTTATTTTAGTGTAGAGTAGTTAGAAAAAATTATTAATAATACTTATGTACTGAAATAAAGTTAAAAGATCAATATTAAAATATTAAATAGATAATTTTAAATAATAAACATAATTTTTTATAATTTTATTTTAGCATATATATTTGATTTGGTAAAATATGTTGAAAAGTTAAATTAATATTTTTAAATAATTATAAGATCTATAAATTAGAAAATAGAATAATTTTTTTTATAAAATATCAAAAGTAGTACTTGAATTTATTTAAAAGATTAATGATATTATACTAACAAGTTTTTACTTCATTAAAAAAAAGTTTAAACAATAATTATAACTAATACACTCTTTGACCTTAGATAGAGAAGATGTTTAAACATATATATATATATATATATATATATATAAATCATCTTATTTACTTATTAAATATTTCAAAAATATTTTTAAGAGATTCTACATAGTCAAAGTATTGCCAAATGAACTGAAACATTTTCTTTTATGATTTATTTTATTTTATTTTATTTTATATTTTTATGAATAATTAAATCCTATAGATTTTCTAAAATTCATCTATAAAAGAAAATATATATAGAAAAATTTAATCTAAAATTTTTGATGCTTTGCAACCTTACCTTATAGATTGAAAAAGTTTTCTTCTTTACATTTGCTTCCTTTTGACACTTAATTCAATTTCATTAAAAATATAATAGAAAATAAATAACCTACATAAAATCAATCCATTTAATTTTACTTATATTTAAACTTATATTATAAAAATCTTTACATTGATGAAGCTTGATTTAGGTTAATTTGTTTTATAAAAGTTATAAACTTAAACTTATAATTGCATTTGTATCTATATATTTTAAATATAAATTCTTGTGTTAATTACAATTACTTAGATCTATTAAAAAACATTCTTGATATGAATGAAGAAAATATGAAAAAAAAAATCAATATATTTTAAGTCATTAATCTACATAAAATCTTATAACTTTTATGTCTTTAAATATGATTATTTTACATATGGGTGTTATGGATTAATGGCGTTTCTAACTTTTATAAAACATTTATAACATTACATTTGTTTTGGAAGTAATATTTTATAATAAATATTATTTAAAAATAATAAGTTATATTAAATATTAATTCAATTTTTTTATAATTTTTTTATATTTAATTTTTTTCAATGTCTTCAAATTTTACGATCTTACAACTTAGATGTTAATAACTTCATTGATTTTAGACCTTTTATTGTCTTAATGATTTTAGTTTAAAATTTAGCATCATTTTTATAATTCATTTTTAGATATTATTTCTAATTAAATTTATTAAAAAACATGTTTCTTAAAAATTAGCAGATTGATTTTTTAGAATTATCGATTTTTTTAAATGATATATATATATATATGTATATATCATCAAATTTGTTATTATAATATGTATTTTTTTTAAACTTTAGATGTTGATTTTAACATTTTGAAACTAATCTTAAAACAATGCAGAAATAAAATTTGGATATTTGATTCACATCTTAACATTATGAATAATAAAATTATGGATAAAATTTAATTAAATATTACTTACTATAAAACAATTATAAAGAAGAATTAATTCTATAAAGATAAAAAAAAAAAATGTACTTGTTATATAAATCCTACTTGATACTAAAACTGAATGGTACTTTTTTGAATATTTTTTATAAAAGATCTTTATAATCAAACATGTTTGGAATACAATAAAACAAAGAAATTTTGAGATTTTATATTTAATAATCAATATAGAAGCTGGGCTAAGTATCTTATTATTTATTATTTATTATTTTTTTATTTTTATATGTTCAAATATCTAATTAATGTTACCAATAATTTAAGTATTGAAATAGTTTTAAGTATATAAAAATAAGTTGAGTTATTATTATTTTTCTTATAAATTTTGTAGATGTAGATTGAACCTACAAGTGTCTTTGCATGTGCATTGTGTCCAAAAAACAATTTCTTAAAAGTTTTTTATTTTCAAGAATGTACCATAAAAGCATCCTATAACTTTAATACTTGTTTTAAAAACCTCATGGTTCTTAGCAAGCTTTGGCATGGCCTTCTTTATATATATATATATATATATAGAGAGAGAGAGAGAGAGAGATAGAGAATAGTAAGGCCATTTTTAATCTTACCAATGCTTATCTTGTATTCTAGTCTTCTCTCAAGATTCTCAAGTCTCTTTGTACTTGGGGCTAGCTATTCTAGTCCTTTGTTGTCATAGAAATATGTCTCTCATGACATGTTTTTGTTTTCTACTCTCAATTATACAAATAGGTGGTATCTTAATGAAGTATGTTTTTTGTTTTATTTTTTGAATAGATTTTATCATCTTCAAAAATAATATTAAATGACTTAAAATATTATAATAGAGGATATAATTATCTAATAAATAATTTATTTTTATCTTTGATATTACATATTAACCAAGATATAATCAATATGATTCTTTTTATTATTATTATTATTTTTTATTATTCAAATGTACTTTTTAAATTATCTTTAAAGTAATACATGCTAATATGGTTTTTATATCAATTTGGATCAATTCTTTACATGAATAATTTAAAACAATAATAATAATAGAACAAACTAATATTTTTATTGATATACTTAATCCAAGAGATATGTAGAAAATAGTTAAATGAATATATGTATTTTTTATATTTTATATTTTTTTAAGTTACACTATAAAATTAGTATTATTATTTGTTTTAATGTAAAAAAATTAGATCTATTTTTTTTTTAAATTATAAATATTGTTTGAAATGAATTTTTAAAATTTTTCAACATCAAATATTCTGATTCTAATTTTTTATATCCTATTCAAACCAATACTACATAGGATATTAATAATAAAAAATAAAAAATAAATATATATATAGAATATAATATAATATTAAGGTATATATATATATATATATATATATATATTTATATACCTTTTGACATGATAAAAATCTGATTGTACATTTTTTTGATTTGGTTTTATCTTCTTTAGATATATATATATATATATATATATATATAGAAAATTTAGGGAGTTGTTAAAGCCACACCTCCGAATCCATGTGATGATAAATTTTGGAGATAGAGAATAAGGGACAAGAATAGGGAACAAGGTATGAGGATTAAGAATAGAAGATGGGGAATATTGAATAAGGCATAGAGACAGGGATGGATGGAATTTATTGTGAGGTGGTAATGTGGGATGTGGCTTAAACAACTTCCATAACTTATTATGACATAACATCTTTTTAAGTAAACATATCAAACCCTTATTGAAGAATAAGTGTATATTTTAAAAAATATATATATGTATATATATATATATATATATATATATATATATACTTGAATAAAAGTTTCACTTAAATTACTAATATTTTTAAGGCACACAAGTAATGCACCACTTGTAAGTAAAATGTCATTCTTTTAAATTTTATTTATTTGATTATAAATAGTGATTATATAAAAATTTAAAACCATCTACAAGAACTAGATTTTGCAAAAATCAGTTTGCTGATAATCCTTAGTAAAGTCATAAAACTTAGGACACAAACTTTTTACCACAACTTAGGATATAAAATTTTACACGAGTACAATTGAAGTACTTTAATTTGCTACCTATTCAAATACTTTGATTTTTTTTTTCTTTGATTTTTTCTTCAATTATTTTTACGCGAGCCTAAATGAAATAAATATTAATCTTTACATACTTCGATACGTAGTTTTGAGCAGGAAATTAGCTTTTTAACCAAAACTAATCTATTCCTCTAGAACGTTGAAAAAATCTTTAATTCTTTCATACACAAAAATTATCATTCCCACCCTCCTTTGTTGATGTATAATCCTAAGGTTTCCAAATTTTTAGTAAAAGGAAAGAAGGGAGATATACATCAGTTGCATCATGCAAGTACCATACTACATGTTTCATTTAGTACAATTTCAAATAGAAGTTTTGGTACACAGATGCTTGTGGAACATCGAGGCTTTTTAAATGGTTATAGAAGTGACATCTTTATCTATAATAAAATTGAAGGATATCAGGAAATTAAAATCCTAAGCTCTATCTGTCAAAATTTGCGAAAACGTAGAACTAATAGTCTACTTATTTCAGATCCCTCCTACTACAGTAACGAACAAAGTCTTAACTGGGAATCTAAAATATGCAGCGTCACATATCAAATACCGCCGCACCATTGATGATACAAAATAAATAAAAAACTATATCCGTCCTTACAAGAAAATCCCGAAAATTTCACAAGAATATCTCTTCACAATGCTGGAGAGGATTCAACAAACTACTTGTACCTCTTTGAGCCAAAATATGACAACTTTCTACACAGGTCTCGCTTTCACGTACTTCTAAGAACGAACACAGGACAATACTTCCAGTAATCTAAGATCACCCAAGTCGGCTTAGCAGTCAATTCGATTCATACTACATGAAGGAAAAACGTGGGCAACTATACATGATTAATTAAAAAGTGTGAACTCCTAATAAAAACTACAATTATTGATAACAAGCTCCTAATGTTTGTTAACTTCAACTTTGGTTTTAAGACAAACTTCCACCAGCAACCTCTTTTCTCAACGACTTGTAGTACCAACAAACTGATTAGGTGCGGCTGGCTGCGTTTGGATATTGGAATGAAGAACCGACGCTACCTCTTCCGCAGCAAGTTTGAGAGCTGGTTTGGGCATGTGCTTGCTTGGTAATCGGGTAGCACAGAGAGATACACACCAGACCACAAAAAGTGAAACCATGGTTCCCAAACCTGTGGATTGCTGTCACAACAGAAAAAACATTGTTTTTCATCACCATGACATCCCAGATGCACTGTTGACTTGTCCTGAATATAAATTCTTCAAAAGAAAAACCATGGAAGTGTTCTAAAGTGCAATCTTGAACAAGAAAATGCAGAACTGACATAAAATGGAAGCACGTAGAAAATCAAAAAATCTTGGAACTGTATCAATGGTTTCGAAACGTGAGATTCGAGAGGTGCAACGCTAATTAGTTTCGAGGTAAAGCTTCATCTGATAACATACAATCCAGGGAATTAAAACACTGACCTTGGGTTGAGCGACTTCATTTTCCGGTGAACTTGCAGTTTCGTAGTCCCAAACGCGAGCCACAGTGTCCGGCAAGATATTGGGGTCAGATTCGCCTACATCCTGTGCTAACTGCGCCACGTCTTGAACAACTCGTGAAATATACTCTGAGGAGTCTGCAGCTTTGGTACTATCCTCGATCACAATTTGAGCCACACTCTGCGCAATGGACTCTTGATTCTGCCCGATATCACTCGTCTTAGCTTCCTCTAGAGTCTTCCCAGCCACATCGTGAAGGCTAGTAGCGACTTCGTCGAGATCGTGAGATTTTGGTGCCGATTCATCCTCAGGTACAGATGGTGGACTTGAAGTCTCTTCTGGCGTAGCATCACTCTCAAGTACGTCGGAAGACTTTTCTTCCTCTCCACTCACTGCTGCAACCGCTGCTGCGAGATATGGGGTCACTTCATGGTCAGATTCCCCACTTGCTCCTTGATCTGCTTTGGTCGAAGTAAAGGCCTTACTAAACAAACTGAAGTTAAAATCCCTTGAAGCTGTTTCTACTTCATTTGCATCAGACTCCGCCGAGGCATTGGCAAGTGGAGTCGGCGACTCGTCGTGAGCAACTTCAGTTTCCAAAGATGGCGTCTCACCTAGAACAGATTTATCTGAGACATCGATACCACTCTCAGGATCACGAAGGGCTGCTAACTTGATCTCCTCGTCTGTCATCTCAGTATGGAGCAAACTGGACACATCTTCAACTGACTTCGGAGCTGCACTTGCCGCTTCTGCATTTACCACTTCCGTCTGGAGCAAATGAGATTCAGCTCCAACTAATTCTGTGGCATTGTTATCTGAATCTTCAGTCTTAGGCACATCATCACCTGATACTTGCGTTGCATCGCTAGTCACGGGAGCCTCACTGAAACCAATGTCATTGAAATCAACATTTAAGTTGACATCGCTTGAAATTTTCGCAACCTCGTTTGTTTCAGGCGCTTCAGTTGCAACGACACTGGCAGAATCCTCATCACGTGGCTCTGAAATTGCATCGGAGGGATCTTCATCAGCCCACTCGATGGGAACACTCACTATGAACTGATCGATGGGAAGTTCCTCCGCAATCAAGGGAGTCGTCGTCTCTGACTCGTTTGCACCAACAGATAGTGCATCAGGTCTTGCTTCTTCAATCACATTAGCTCTCTCGGAGACTCCTTCTACATGTCCAGCATTAACCTCAACGTCCCCTGAAACACCCTTGTTTTGGAGCTCCGCTACAGTCTCTTGTAGAAGCTCCTCCACATCCAGGCTTCTGTCTGTTTGACCTCCTGTTACCCCGAAATCCTCTCTTCTTTCTGAAAGAAGAGAGGATTTCGGACTATGTTCAGCAGCATCGGTTTCTTTGACGTCAGATAGTGTTTCTTCTTCATTTTCTGCAGCACCCTCTTCGCTTTGCTCCTGCCTTGGAATCGAGGATTCCATACGGTCCAAGGGCTCCTCTTCAGCAGGCAAGGATGTATGAATGGCCTCCTCCATTTCAGAATCTGACACCTCAGGCTTCACTTCTCCAGGCGGCCTCGAAGGATCACTAGGAGCAGCCACGGATTCTAAATTTGACGAATCCACATCTGGCTTTGCATCACCAATCTCTGCAACAGGAGCATCAACTGCTTCGCTAATACCATCAGTTTCAGTGCTAGCACTCTCTCTGTCTGCACTCTCCGAGGTTGGTGCTACCTCGATCGCATCGTCAACATTTACTTCCGCATCATCGGAAGGCGTGACCACGGATTCTGGTGATGCATTCATTTCACTGATGCCATCATACTTTACGTCAACAGATGTGTCTTCAACGTCATCAGAAGAAGGAACCGAGGATTCTGGCTCCGCGGTTTGTTCCTCGGGCTCATTACGGACTGTCACTTCTGTAGACTCGTGAACGTCCTTAACCGGCGCATCTACTACTTCACCAAGAGCATGGTCAGCCGATTCCTGACTAGGAGTTTCAGGACTTGCGTCCTCATTCTCACCGCTCACTGGTGGGATTGCCGCACTTGCCTCACTCAAATCACTAGAACTCACATCAATTGCTTTGTCTTCAACGTCATTAGCAGTTGCAGACAGAGACTCCAGATTTGCGGAGCTCTCCTCGGGCTGTGTACCGACTAATGCTTCCACATCATCATGAGTCTCCTCCTCGGCAATACCATCACCTTCATTCTCAACGTTGCCAGTTGACTCTGGAGCTGTAATTTCAGAGCTCGCGCCTTCCTTGCCATCACTCTCAGATGCGGAGGGCACTGCACTAACAGCTTCAGAAACTGTCTCTACAGACTTCTCCTCCACATCATCAGAAGGTGAAGATACGGATTTACCTTCATCCTCAACATTGCCAGATGACTCTGGACCTGTAATTTCAGAGCTGGAGCCTTCAAAGTCATTACTCTCAGACACGGATGGCACTGCACTCACATCTTCAGAGACTGTCTCTACAAACTTCTCCTCCACATCGTCGGAAGGTGAAGATACAGATTCACCTTCATTCTCAACGGTGCCAGATGGCCCTGGAGCTGGAGTTTCAGAGCTCGCGCCTTCACTGCCATCAATCTCAGATGCGGAGAGCACTGCCCTCGCATCTTCAGAAACTGTCTCCACAGACTTCTCCTCAACATCATCGGAAGGTGAAGGTATGGATTCCGATTCGGCTGTTTTTTCCACGGAATTTGCATAAGTTCCAGCATCCGAACCATCTTCAACATCTTCAACAGGAAGCTCAGCTTTATTAAGTAATCCTTCAGCAGGAAGCTCATGATGGGATACATTCTCCTCGGCATTATTCTCCAATGCTGTGGGCATCTCAGGGACATCTTCAGAATTAACTGCTACAGGTTTCTCTTCGGTATTGCCAGAATGAGCAGCCATAGATTCCGATTCTGCAGGTTCTTCATCGGGCTGTTCGATGGTATTCGCTTCCACTAGCTCATAAACCTCTTCAGCGGGAGCATAGTGCAGTTCACTGACAACTCTCTCAACACCCCCAACACAAACAGGATGAGGGCCTTCGCTCTCAATAACATCACCCTCCAAAGGTAATTCTTTGCTCTCCTCACAGATATCTTCGGGTTTCATTACCGCAGGCTCTTCTTCAGCACTGTCAGAGGAGGCAGGCACAGCTTCCGCAGTTACTAACCCTTCTCCAAGCGGTGCACTAATTGCGGCTGCCACAACATCGTCAATCCCCTCCGCATGAGGATCCTGTGCTTCACTGTCGACCTCCTCGGCATGAGCACCCTGTGCTTCACTATCAATCCCCTCCGCATGAGAATCATGCACTTCACTGTCAACTCCATCAACATCACGATCCTGTGCTTCACTATCAAGCCCCTCGGGCAACCCTTCAGAAGGAACTTCATCACTCCCTGAAGCTAATGTCTCAACTACATCCCCTGCATCTTGGGAATCCTTGGGCATGTCTTCAACGTTACCAGAAGGAACAGATAAACCATCCGAAACCTCAACACTATTAGGAGCCTCCACAATGGTCTCCACGCTCTCAGCAGGAGCATCAACATCCTCACCTTGCCCTTCATCAGGAATGTAAGGTCTCAATTCCTCCTTGTCATCCACTTCTCGACCATTCTTAGCAACAGCCTCACTCAAGTCCCAGCTTCCCACCTTCTCCGTCGCATCCAAACCATCCCCAACAAAAGAAGAGTCAACTTCCAGATCTCCACTCGACGAAACCGCGACAGGTTCCTGGATGGTACTCATCGGAGGCTCCACAGCCATCGATGCTGCATCAACATCAACACTCTCACTAACAGAAACATCGGACACTCTCTTCTCCCCCTCTTCAACTAAAACATCGTGCGAGGTCTTTGAGTTCAATTCTTCGTTGGGACTCACACTTACACTCTTCCCTTCACCCTCACCCTCGCCTACACCGTCAACACTCTTCACAACAGCATGAGCATTCTCTTCTTCTACCGAGGCACTCTCATCTCTTGCTTCACTCTCCGTGGGCGCCGCCATATCCTTCTCCGCATCCACCGAACCCATCCTTCCAAACCTGCCCGATTAACAAAGAAATGCCCTCAATCACCCCCTCCAACACCCAACTCCATGCGCCTGCTACCCTCCTGGAAAACCACACGTCACCATTCACCACCGTCTCACAATCCAACCGAAATGACGATGCCAGCCACTACCAAAAAATCCCTCACAAAGCTTCACGGAGAAGCGCTTGCGGATGTGCGAAAAGATCGTCGCCGGTCGAGAGTGGCAGATGTAGAGCCGTGATTGTGAGAGTCCTTGCTGGTCCTGAAAGGTTTTGAAAATTTGCCAGGTTGGGTTGCGATCAATGAGGGCCCCTCCCGCATTCGCCGCTCTGGCAGCCGGCGCGTGACCTGGAAGCGGAACCAGCCAACCGCCCAGCTGTTCCGCCACGAGAGCCAAAAACCCAAAAGAACTAGTCCAAATAATCATTTAAATAATAAAAAACATCAAGCCCAATTCCGCATTTAAAGACTAATTCAATTCTCATCACGACGAGGCCATTCATGAAAAGCCCCAGCTGCTTTGTGGCGGTGGGGTTTGTTTGTTTGCTAGTGTGTGTGTGTGTGAGGGGTTGCGCATGGCATCCTCTTGCTCTTTCTTACTCTCGCTCTCTCTTTTCGCATCGGAGTGCGCATCCCTTGACTTGTTCCTTCTTCTTCTTCCTCGCGTTATGGGGCCCTTTCTCCTTCATCTCTGCAACTCCTTTTCTCGCTGTGGGAGTTGTGTGCCATCTCAAGCAAGAGTGGGCGTCACTCTCATTCTTTGGAGCACACGCTACCCTTTGATGCCCATTTGGGGAAGAAAAGTAGAAACTTGGGGGACATTGGGGTCGGAACTTCTTGTGGGAAACAGCTTAACAACTCGTTGGGCAAGGATTCTGGATGTGTGGTGAACTAGTAAGTAAGATAAATTTTTCTCTTGGGTGGTGGTCCATGCATTGTCGTGTGAATTTTGATTGGTGTCCAATATGAGTGTGATTAGGAGTGTTTTTGTTCTCACAATTGTGTCATATTTTTTATTGCATTCAAACCAAGATCTAAACAATGCATTTTGTGTTTTGAAATTTAGCCATTGGTAGAAGATTGTAACAAGGTTTGTGTCTTTGTTGTTTTGAATGTTGGTTTGTGACTTCCTTTTGTATGAATTTTCAGCAATTTTTGTGTTGTATGTAGATTTTGTAATGACTTGGTTTGTACTTGTATTTGTATCCTCTCTTTTTATTAGACTCAAAGTTATAGACAATATAATTCAATTGTTTATTTATTTTTTAAAAAATTGATGCAAATTGATAATGATGGCTCCTTCTACTATTTCATTAACTATAATGGTTGAAATTATGATTGTTCATTGAAAGAGATTTGTTTAATAAATGAATATTTATATAATGGGAATAATATTCAATAAGATATGTTACTTATTAAACACATAATAAGCAACGTGAATTTAAAAATATGTCCTATTTATGATAATAGAATGTGATTTATAAGTATACAAAAAAAGTTTAATTAAATTTAAAATATACTAATATGGGAGAATATATAAAATCTTTCAATTTGGTAGTAATTCTAGCAACTATTTATTTCTGTTGTAAATTAGAATATGTCTATAAAAATAAATATAGAAAAAATGACTACTGTTAACAAAGTTTTGGCTGTTTCATTTTACACATGTATTTACTCGAAAGTGATAATTAAAAAAAAATTATGAGAGAGTTTAAACATAAAATTATGCACTTTAAAATAAGTATTTAAAATTTAAAATTTACTAAAAACTAATAATGTGATAATAAATTAGTAACAAAATGCATATTTTTTAATAATACTATAATAAATATGATTTTTTATTTTTGAAATATCTTATTTCTATTTATTGATTAAAAATAGATATATAATTTAAAATTTTATAGACATTGTATTAAAAAATTATGTGTAGGAATATGGAAAAAATATTCAGGAGCATATATATATATATATATATATGTGTGTGTATATATATATATATATATATATGAATAAAATTTCAAAATGAGTTGATTTGTTTATAATGTCAATGAAGGAACTTATCAAAAACATTTTTACAAAACTTTTCAAATACTGTTTTATTAAGTTAATTCTGAACTCTACATATATACAGTGACAAACAAAACCGAGTACAAAATCTGAACACTCATCGTTCATTGATCCTTCCAACTGACACATAAGTCAATTGATAGAATTACTTTTTTATTGTGTGTATTCATCCAGTCCTCTACATGGATGAAAAATCTCATTATCATTTGAGGTAGGGTTTATGAAAAAAGTGTTGTAGAAGCACACAGACATGTGCACTCAGTTTTGGTTGCTTCTTCTTGCTGAATTTCGAAATTTCAATGTACACTCCTTGTTGCAAGATTTGAGGGCATTTTTTGTTTGTTGTGTTGCTCTTGTTGTGTACTATCTATAGTGAAAGTTGATTTGTCAATTGTATCTCTATGCCTCGGTTGTGTGAATCATTGAAGCACCAAGCATTGGTGCAGCTTAGGAGTGGTGTTTCTACAAGAAAAGTTGCAAACTCACTTGGAATGAGTCAGTCTTCAGTAGCTCATCTGAGGAGGGAGATTAGTAGTGAAATAGAAAAGCAAAGAGGAGGACGTCCAAAGGTTTTAGGAGAACAAGAGAAGCGACTTGGTGTGCACCTTGTCACTGCTGGTTGTCTCAAAACGGCAAGTGCAGCTGCAAAACAACTTCGAGAAAAAACAGGTAAACACTTCTCAGACATCACCTTGAGGCGTGGTTTGAGAGAAGTTGGTTTGGGTGCTTGTGTACAACAAAAGAAGCCTCTACTTGCCAAAAGACATGTTCTTGCAAGGTTGAGTTTTGCTCATAAATACAAAAATTGGACCATTGATGATTGGAGACGGGATATTTTCAGTGATGAGACAAAGATTAACCTAATCAACTCAGATGGTAGGTCTTGGTGTTGGTTGAGAGAAGGAAAACGACCTGGACCTAAACATGTTAGTCAAACTGTCAAACATGGTGGTGGTTCAATTATGATTTGGAGTTGTATGACTGCTTTTGGACCGGGTGCTTGGTATCAAATTGAAGGTAGAATGGAGCAACACTTGTATAAAAAAATTTTAGAAACCTACTTGCAAAGTACCACACAGAATTACAACTTAGATCCTACTAAGGTGGTTTTTCAACATGATAATGATCCCAAAAATATGGCAAAAAGTGTTTAGTTTTGGCTCTCTTCACAGCCATTTCAGCTCCTTCGATGGCCAGCTCAATCTCTAGATTTGAATCCAATGGAACATTTTTGGGCCCTTCTCAAACAACGTTTAAGCCAAGTCACTCCAAGGCCAAGAGGTGTTCAAGAATTGTGGGAGAATGTTTGTAGTATTTACCCTAGTTATGATGCAAAAGATTGTGAGAAACTATACAAAAGTATGCCAAGAAGGATTTCAGCTGTTTTGGAAGCAAAAGGTTATTGGACTAAATATTGAAGTTTGAAGATTTTCTTTAAACAATTCTGAGTACAAGACATAGTTGTTGATTTGACTTTGTAGAAGGATGTTTAGTTATCAATTTGATGTACAACTTTGTACATGTGTACAAGACTGTGTGTATTATTCCATGTAACTTTCAGATTTATAAAGCAATCATTGAAATTTCTGTAATTGCTCTTGAAAGTTGGCACTTCAGATTTTGTACTCGGTTTTGTTTGTCACTGTATATATATATTTACAAGTTCTTATAAGTTAAAAAGATTAAAATTAATAATCATGAGTAGTTCTTAAAGGGGGTTTTAAAATATATATATATATATAACCAAAAAGAAAAAAAAAAGATTGAATAAGCTATAAATAAAACCTATTTTGGCCCTTTGCATTGCAATTTAGTTTTTGAAAACAATGACGGTGAAAATTTGAAATTAGATTTATAATTACCTATACATATAATCACAATTAATTATAAAATCCAAAAATATGATTAAAATAATTTTAAGTCACTGATAATTTTTTTGATTTAGACCAAAAAAAATACTGCATTAAAACACACATTTGTATATATATATATATATATATATATATATTGATATTGAAAGAGAGATATTATTTTATTTTAATGGAAAGAAAAGCAATTGTTTAATTTTATGTATCATTTTAAAAAATATATATATAATTCAACAAAATAATTATTTATTTATTTATTTTAATATACTATGTTATTTTATTAAAGAAATATATAAGAGTACAGAAGATTTAGTGTTTACTTTGCATTGTTGTTATGATTGCTTCAAAATGTTTTTCTGTCATTTTACTTCTACTTCATAATAAAGTATTTTTGGCATCATAAATTAAGTAGAATATAAGCTATACATAGTGTGACTTTTCATCAAAAATTTTAATATCCTGATCTATGAAGTTCTTACTTAATCAAAAATTTGTGGTTTAAAAGTAAACTGTTTTCACTTTGTTGTTTTATTTCATAACAAATTAAGTCGTTGTATAATATGGTTGAATTACACATGGTACATGAGTGTTTTTAGGTTTTTAGAATATTATAGTATCAAAGAATTAAAGCTTATGGAATATGAACATAAAGTTATGCACCAAATTCATATTTATTTATAAAGCAAAGAACAGCTCAATTTCGGATGTTAGGTATTATGGCTTTGCTTGGACAAGAAAAAAGTTACAAATCCTCTAACCACGCTCTCATCTCAGCATTTAAAACCTTGGTTAAGCATTCACCCAAAATGTCATCACTAAAATGAGTTGAAAATTTAATAATCTTTAACCCTCATATCATTGTTGTCTTGACTTCAGTAAAAATGTCGAATTTCTAAGTAAAATATTTGGTAAGAATCTCTTCTAGGATATGAATGATAATCTTGCTTAAGCATGAGCATGGTTAGTAACATCTCTATTAAGGTAAGATTTCAGGCTGAACTTGTATCATAAAATAGGAATAAACTCCACCATTCTCCATAAAAAAAAGTTTATATATATATATATATATATGTTTTTTAAATTCAGTAATTGAGTATAAAACAAGATGTCATCTATTTGAGAAGGGGGCTTTTGGGGAATGGGTGGGAGGAGTGATTGAAAGGCCGCTGTAGCTGAGCTACAACTTGACTCAACAAGGACCTCATACTTCTATCATTCGTCCACTTCCTCATCGATCCACGGACATCCATCCATAAAGGAAATCTGGAGTGAGTCGCTCATGTTGTTACGCCACATCATCTAACCTTTGCCACGTCGGCGTGCTCCCT